ATTTTTAGCTTTTTGAGGTATCTCCAAATTCTTTTCCACAGAAGTTGCACTAATTTGCAGTCCCATCAGCACTGTAAGATTGTTGCTGTCTCTCCACATCCTTGCCAGCATTTGTTCTTTGGGGCTTTTTTGATAGAGGCCAATCTCACAAGGTTTAGGTGATATCTCATTGTGGTTTTGATTTGCATTTCCCTAATGATTAGAGATGTTGAGCATTTTTTTTATGTTTGCTGGCCATTATTCTGTCTTATTATGAAAAGTTTCTGTTCATGTCCTTCACCCATTTATTGATGAGGTTGATTTTTTTCTTATTGATTTTTTTGAGGTCTAGATAGATTCTTGTTATCAGGCATTTATAGGATCTGAAATGAGTATGGTATCCCTCCTTTCTTTTGACTTATATTTACCTGGAGGATTGTTTTCCATCCCTTGACCTTGAGCCTGAAGGCATCTTTGTGGGTTATATTTGTTTCCTATAGATGGCAGATACTAAGCTTGTGGATTTTTATCCATTCTGCTAGTCTATGTCTCTTCAGATGACAGTTTTAGCCATTCACACTTATCGAGAGTATTGAAATATGAGGTAGATTTCTGTAAATACTGTTCGGTGACATCCTATTGTTTTGTTTTACTCCTTGAGCCATCATGGAGTCAAGTTCTAGAGTTTAACTTTTAAATGATTTTGTTTTGGAGAGTGTCTATTGTGCTGTTCAGTGTGTAATGCAGGTCTGAGTACTTCCTGTAGGGTTTGTCTGATCTTCACAAATTTCATCAGTGATTGCTTGTTTGGGAAGGTCTTTATTACTCCCTAATAGATGAAATTTAATTTTTCTGAATAGAGAATTCTAGGTTGGACATTATTCTGTTTTGGAAGATTGAGAATAGGCACTCAATCCTTTCTTGCTTGTAAAGATTCAGTTGAGAAGACTGCAGTTAGACTGATAGGTTTTCCTTTGTAGGTTATTTGCTGCTTTTGCCTCATTGCTCAAATAATTGTTTTTTTTTTTCATTTTTAATTTGTTTAACCTAATAACTCCGTGACGAGGTGATTGCCTTTTCACATCAAGTCTGCTGGGAGTTCTGTGTGCTTCTTGAATCTGGATATTAATATTTCGGGTCAGGCCAGGCATATTTTCCTCCAGTATTCCATGAAATAAGTTTCCAGCCCTTGTGTATTTTCTTCTTCTCCCTCTGGGATGTCAGTTTTTCTTATATTTGTCTTCTTTATGTAATCCCAACTTTCATGTATGTTTTGGTCTTGTCTCATGTTTCTGTGTTCTTCTTCATCCAATTTACCATGTAGGCATTATCTTCAAGCTCTGAGATTCTTTCCTCTGTGTGATCCATTCTATTCTTGAGGCTTCCCACTGTGTTTTGAAGTCCCTTGATTGCCTCCTTCATTACCAAGATTTCTGTTTAGTTTTTCTGTAGTATTTCAATTCTTTAGAGAATTTTCATTCATTTCCTGTATTGTTATTGTGCTTTCTTTATGTTGGGATTCTATTTTCTCTTCAATTCCATTGACATTTTTTACAATCCATATTCAGAATTTTTTTGTCTGTCAGTTTAATCTTATCAAGTAAATTGGTATCTATTTATGGAGATCAAATATTATCTTTTGAATGTGACTTTTCTCTTTGATCTTTCATGTTTTCTGTTTTCTTTCACCTATTCTTTCTCATCAGGCTACTTTGTCAATTACTGGGGTTTCTGAGACTGGTTTATAGGCTTTATTCCAAGTCCCCAAAGGGACATTCCTGGACAGTGCTTGGAGGATGCCCACTGGTCCTGTATTGTCTTAGAGGTGTTTTAGCCTGCTAGGTTATCTCTGACCTGTTGTCTTCATCTCCTGCTGACAAAGATTAGTGAGTTTGGACCCCTTGCTTAGACTCCCAGGTGTTAGATTACTCTTGTGTGTGTGACTCCACTGCTGTCCACTAGTTTGAGATGGAAGATACTGTGTTTTTCTATGGGGTTACCCTCTATTTTGTTGCTTGTAATTTGTGTGGAGTCAGTTATCAAGGTATTCCAATACTTTTGTAGTGGGATCTAAACTCTTGAATGGGATATACAACTGCCCCAGTCTTCAGGTTATGCCATGCTACTCCCAAGGGTTACTTGAGCCCTGTTACCATTTTAGGTGGGGTGAGAAGAGCAACAGGTACCTGTGAACCTAAGAGTGTATACATCTGTGGTTGCTTAATCTGCTGCTAAGGGAGAGCTGCTAATATGTCATTCAGAGCTCTTTTGCCACACTTGCAAAGCAGCTCCTGGTGGGGGGGTGCAATTGCTAAGGACTCTGGCCAAGATTTTCCTTCCCAGACTACAAGCCCCAAAGCTGGCAACAGCCTGGGCACCAAGGGCAAGTCCTTTTTTATGACCTTATCAGATGATCAAACAAATATGCTGTACCAAGTCAACAATCTGTCTTCTTTTGCTTACTTCCAAATTCCCACAGATTCAAGCCAGTCACACAGGAAAAGTGACTTTTCTCTTTTATCCCTGCCTTCAAGGGCTGATTCTGTCCTATCGGGCTAGGGGAAGGGCATTGCCTGAGAACACCTCAAGTCCCTGCCCATAAAACCTTTACTTTCATTTCTACCCTCCTTCAAGTGCAGGTTCTGCCCTGCTAGAGGGAACAACAAGCCACCAGACTGTAGAATGGGCACTTCCTGGGGCCATGGGGCATCTCATCCCAGGAAGCAGCTACTCTCAATTCTCTGCCCTTCCAAGTGTGAGGTTTGTCTAGTTGGTACAAAGTACATATTGCAGGGCTTCTGAAGAAGCCCTTCCCAAGTCCACTGAGAGTCTCATCCCAGACAGTGGCCTCCTTCACTACTACACCCTTCTAGGGGCCTTCAAAGTGTCTATGCCTTTGGCACAAAACCCAGGTGGCTGAATTGGGGGTAGACCCTGAGACTTCCTGGCCACTCCACCAAGAAAGTGGTTTCTCCTGATATTCCGCTCCTTCAAGGGTGGGATTTGACCTGCTGGCCCTAAAAGGCCAGTGGCTGTGTTGGGAAAGGAATGTTCAGAAAGTAGCTTCTCTCCTTACTCCCTTCCTCCAAGTGTGGGGCCTGTTCTGCTGGGAAGGAGCAAGGGCATTGCCTGAGTTCATTGCCTGGGCCTGTCCTGCTGGGCTGGAGAAGGGGCAGTGGCCAGGTTAGCAATGCCTCAGAGCATTTTTAGGCTATGCACCCCCCAAAATGGTGGCTGCCCACCCATGGAGAGCCAGCACTGGAGGCAACTTCTTGGTCGGCAGTGGGTGCTGGTTTTGGTACACTGTCTCTAAGAACCATCTGCTGAGCCCACTGCTTCCCTAACACACTGACTTATGCCTGTTCAGCCAGAGAGATCTGTACTCTGCCTCACCCTATGCCAGCTGAATCTTTGGCAGTTTCTAAGGGCAGAAATTCCCTTTTGGTGTTCACGTCCCTTGTTCTGGTCCTGGCAGCCTCCAGAAGTGAGAATCCTGTTTCCAATCTCCCTCCTGCAGAACCAGGAAGTGTTCACTCAGACTAGTCTCTCCCCCTCCCAGTGCAGACCCAGCACAGTGCACTGGAGAGTTCAAAATATTTCCTTCTCCTGTCTCTACTCCACACATCCCATTGGCTCTTGCTAAAACTTCACACTGACTTCAGGCACTTTCCTGCCTGAGTGAATGTGGAGGTCCATGGAGGAAGTGTCGTCCTCCTGTGGGTCATATCATGCTGCTGCAGACAGCTGATCAGTGCAGCCATTCCACACTCCATTCGCTATTGTATATCTCACACTCACCAGACTTTGTGGTTGATTCTCTAATTCACCTTTTTTTTCCAGCCCTGCTTGTCCTGTGCTGCTTCTCTGTAGATTGACAATGCTATTCCTGTGGGAGAGATATAGCTGTGTATCTTTCCAAGTTCTTCACTTCCTACTCTAGGAGCAGAGAGCCAGGAGATCACCCCTAATCCACCATTTTTCAACCCCCTCCTCTAATTGATATTTGCATCTTCCCTTCATCCACACAGGGACATAGTAGGCACCCTGATGTTTGTTAAATTAATGTTATTTTCTTCCTTGTTCACATAAATTTTGCCAACCTAAATCCAAGACACTATGACTGAAAAAAAATTAAATCATTGAGCTGTTTGTTTCCTATGAACTTCTGTTCAAGAATTCTTACCTCTTACATTGTGGTACCAACCACCAATTAGGCATTAGAAAAACATAAAGACATGACAGTACAGATATTTGTGGAGTGATACGATAATCATAAACCTAGGCATTCTTTTGAGGAAGACAATAAACATTCACTTCAGATTTATTCTTTTTCGGACTATGCTGCATTCCCTCTAACCACTATTTCACAATTCTCAATTTAATCAAACTTTAACTTCCATGGTTAGGTAAATTTCAGAATGCGTTCTGCAATGAGTTTTGGGAGCTGAAAAGAACAGAAATTGTCCTCATCATTGTTACCACAGATTGTGAAATCATAGCATCAGAATGGGCTACAAAGTGTTATCTAGGTCTCTGGGCAGCTCTGTGCCTCCTAACTTTTTACTTCTTGCAGAATCAATCAACATTTTCCCAAGTTTTTCATAATAGATATCTTGAAGACTTGGGGCTTGAGCTAATCAAAAGTCACTAACATTTTTTAAGAAATTACTTATTAAAGCTGAAGTATAATAGGGAGAGTTTATGATAGGGAGAGTTATCAAAATCCAAAGTCAATATAAGTCAAAAGCACAAACAATCTCAGTGTTGAATACTGATACTTCCCTCTAACATTATTGTAGCAAAGAATAGTGTTGTGCTAAATAGATTATATTCCTTCTTTGTCATCTGACTTTGACTGTTGCAATGTTTTTAATATAACTCAAACAAAAATACTGAATCCCAAACTGATCCCCATTTGTTTTTAACACTGATATATATATATATATATATATATATATATATATATATACACACACACACACAGATTTTTCTGCTGTGATGATAAAAAATACCTTGCATGGATGTTCCAGGGCCCGGAGAGCGAGGGCGGCCGCGCGGGTTCCCGGGCCATGAAGCCTCCGGGGGGAGAACCAAGCAATCTTTTTGGAAGTCCAGAAGAAACTGTTCCTTCCAGCAGGCCTAACAGGATGGCGTCTAATATTTTTGGACCAACTGAAGAACCTCAGAACATACCGAAGAGGACCAACCCCCCAGGTGGGAAAGGAAGTGGTATCTTCGACGAATCGGCTCCCGTGCAGACCCGGCAGCATCTCAACCCCCCTGGTGGGAAGACCAGTGACATTTTTGGCTCCCCAATCACCGCCACTTCCCGCTTGGCACACCCAAACAAACCCAAGGATCACGTTTTCTTACGTGAAGGAGAAGAACCAACATCAGACCTTAAAGCTGCGGCGAGCATCCTACCTGGAGGAGAGCCAGATGCCAGGGAAGCGGAGCACGTGCCCACCGCCAAGGTCGACAGCCACGAGCCCAGGCTGGGGCCGCGGCCTCGCTCGCACAACAAAGTCCTGAACCCCCCAGGAGGCAAATCCAGCATTTCCTTCTACTAGAACAGTGACTGCCTGACCGTAGCCAGACGAGAGTCGGGAGTTGGTGTAGCAAATACTGTCGTTTCCTTTAGCCCAAGCGAGCTGGGGGGGAAGGGGGTTAGTCGTGAGCAGGAGGCTGGTGGCTCAGGGTCTCCACTGACGTCACGAGAGGACGACGCCTTCCAGACTGCGGGAGACACGCCTGCGTCTGCGTGGGGATAAACTGCGGTTCCCTGGTTTTCACTCAGTCCTAGTCCCGACGTGAGAGGGACTCTACGGTGGGCCAGGGCTGGGAGGTAGCGCGGGGCCGCGGGAGGCTTGGCAAGGCGCGGCGTCCTGTGCCAGCCGATGGGACACCTGGGAAGGACGGAGAGGACACAAAACAGCCCGTCCTCTACGTGCAGACACTGCCGAGGCGCTGGGGGTGTCTGGACGACCCCTCGGATCCTGACGCCAGGTGCCCTCACCACGCTCCCCACCCCAAGGCCACCCTGCCGAGCCCCAGCGTCTCCTGTCCGTTTTAGCCCCAGTTTTTTGTTTTGTTTTGTTTGTTTGTTTGTTTGCAGTCTTTTCTTAAAACAGCTTGGTTGCTTCTCCCTGGCAGCTTTAAAAAAACCAAAAAGTTGTCCTCAGTCTTCTGTTTTGTGGAAGGTTTTACACCCTAATCCTCTGAGCTGCCCAGTTTCTACCGCCCAGAGCCCCAGCCCATCTCCCGCAGGGATCTGCCCTCTCCCGCAAGGGACGGCCTTGGTCCTTCACCTGCCAGTTTTGCTTGTGAATTGTTCCTTTTCTTCTCATCAGCCTTAAGTCCAGGCCTTTGTTCTTCTCCAGGGACATGGACAGTTGCCTCCTAAGCCAGGGTTCTTCCATAAGTGTGCCCCACTGACCTTCTCAGGACCTGGAAACCACTTGGACGTGTCCAAGTGAGGGGCTTGTTTAGCTTCTCCCGTGTCTTGCATGGGGAAAATATGAAAATAAATAGTATTTAGGTGCTTGAGAACCCTGGATTCTTTAATACCTGAAAAGCTATTTTTAAACAGCAGCTTTACATAAATGATTATTGATTCTGCTCTGTTCCTGACACCTTCCCAGAAAAAAGTCACTTGCTCAGGTTCACCAAAGAGGAACAAAACCTGCTTACACCACCCTGTGAAGCTTTGCAGAACCTCTGGACCATGGTCACAGTCGTCTGGAAGAGATTGGAGACCTGAGCCCAGGAGGTGAGGTAGTTTAGCAGCAGTCACGGCTGTTCATTTCCCTTGCCCTTGCCGGCTAAGGCAGTGGGCCAGCAGGAGTGACGCTGCTCAGCTCTCAGGCAAAAGTCCCTCCTGTTCACCCCTGAAGGGCCGCAGTTTCAGTCCCCTGCTTCCCTTGGGCGGCCATCTGTCTGCAGAGAAGAACGTCTGGGTGGTAGTAGCTATTGCTCTGAGTGCCTACAAAGCTAACGCCTGGTGCTAGAAACATCATCATGATTAGAGTTTATTAATAGAAAAGCAACAACTTAGCCTCATGCTGGCCTACCTGCTTGAGTGCCTGCAGGAACTGCCTGCCAGGCTCACTTCCTGTTCCCGGCACATGGAGGCATCTGCATGAGGCTTTGTCAACCAAAGACAGTCCCCCCCCCCTTCAATTGCCCTGCAGACTTTGGAGCCAAGAAACAGTCATTCCATGTGACTCTGTCACACTTCAAATGGTTTGTGGTTCAGCCATTTATAAGAGTTGTTAGGAATTCAGAGCTTTGCCATTTAAAAACGTCATAAATGGTAGTATACTTTTAAAACCCAAATACACTAATTTGTTTTACTTAAAAGGAAATAGTCTAATGGTAGAAATGAACGACCACTTACAACTCTTTCTTATGAGAAAATGGTTTGTGAATCCACATTGTGTTGCCTAGAACAAACCTGACCTTGCTGTGCTGGCCCTGCCCCTCCCTTGAACCCTGCTGTCAGCCAGGTGCGGGAGCTCTATGGTCCTGCCCACTGGCAGGCACTTCCGGTGGAGAAGGGAGAAGCCAGGGATGAGAAAGAACGCCTTGGGGAGTAAGAAAATCAACCGTGAACCAGAGCAAAGGCCCCTGGGCAGCAGTGACAGAACTCACCTCACTCTTTTCCCATCTTTCCCACCTTTCCTGAGGCTTCAGGGCTGGGCTGAGTTCTGGGTAGGCTGGGCGAGGGAGCCCCACTGTGGTTGCTGTTTGCATTTGGAAGGTGTTCTGTACATTGGGGACTGCCTGTACTTGGAAGATTAAAAACTTTAGCATCCTGTTTTCAACCTCTAAGCTGCATTGATAAATTACTACTCTGTATTTTGATTAAGCCTTAAAACTTTTAAGTGCATTTGGTGCCAACATTTTTCTAGTGCTGTATCTAAACAAAAAATCCTATACTCATATCTCAGTGTAATTTTGATAGGAACATTTTTGTTATTTTTACAAGGCAGAATCGGGTGTAACTGTTGAATTAAACTTAGCAATCACATAAAAAAAAAAAAATACCTTGCATGAAGGAAAACCTTATATACTTGAAGAATTAAGTCATCCTCTTAATTGTCTCCATCAAGTATAAAAATTTTCAGTTTCACTTGGACATGTGAGTAAATTGATAAAGCAGAATTCATTACTAGAAGGTACAGATTCATCTGGCTTAGGCTAAGGAGGAAGTTGCACTTTGTATCATGGTTACACCCTGCTCTGCCAAGGCAATGCAGAAACAATGAGAGAGGGTCTTAATATCTGAGAGAACTGGGTTTAATTTTTGCTCATTACTACGTGAAGCACTTGGATCTAATTACCTAGATCCTTGGTCTGTAAAATAGAAAGAATAATACCTATATATAATGGATACTTAGTGCACAGTTCATGGTGCATAATAGCTATTGAATAAAGAAGGGTGCTATTCATTTTATGTTCATCATCACAGTACACAGATAAATTGTGGTATCAAACATTATTTTTATTTTTTGTTTAAGTCATAATTTCTTTTTTTATTCTAACTCTCAAATGGAACCAGCAAAAGTGGTAATTTCAAAAGTGGTTTTTATTCTTTTTTCTAACTTCCATATCCTTACCAATTTCTAGGTCTAATCACAAAGCTAATTGAGCCATTTTGATTAACCACGAAAAGTTATTAAAAGCCCTTAATATTGGTAGAAATAAAAATAGCAAAAGCATACAATTTTTCAAGATAATAATCTGAATTATAAAATCAAGTGATTCAAATTGATACAGATAAGACAAAACTTTCTAAACTGCTAAAAGTGGGAAATAGTTAAACCTTGGGCTTTATTCTGGAAATTAAACATTTGGAAAGAAGGTTTACAGTAGTAGGCCTGACTTTTATATAATGTCAACTGGATGCTTTTAGAATAAAAATATTTTTTCTATTTGTATCATTTCATAACCCAAATAAATGTTCATGAAGTAGATGCGTTCTACATAGCAATAGGTCATAGGGACATTGATCAGAGTGCAAGAAATATGAAAAGACAGAGCATCTAACTGCATATTTATATACCTAAGGTAAATGAGAACTTGATTATGAGAATGTGGGAAAAGTGATATCATTTTATGCTTTACAATTCTCTTTGATTTAATTTTGTATGAGTCACAGTATTTTATCTTTGACAGATAATAACTCAATCACATTTCTTTTATTATCCTGGGAGACCTCTGGACTTGTGATATTAAAAATAGAAAAAGTATTTTAAAAACCCTGGTAAGTAGATACAAACCCCCTATTGGTTTAGCTTGTCATTTTTTTTCCTTTTTCCTGTCTGAGACACAGAGATGCAATTGTGCTGCATTATCAAAAAATTAAATCAAAAATTAAAACTTCAGGGAGTCTGAATGTCTGCTTCCAGTTACACAATACTTTGTCAACATCACTTGGTTTTTATTAGGGAGCCTATATTTTCCTGAAGTTTGTAATTGCCTCTGTGCTAAACTATATCTAAAATAGAAAAAAATCACATGAAAGGAATGTTTGGTAAAATGAATTATGCATCTTGACACTTCTTGCTCAAGTTCTATTCCATCTAATTATTAATAAAACATATATTACTATTATATATCTTTATTCTGTATCAATACGCACTCCACCTCTGTATCCAGTAAACATTTTACTATAACTTTTAAATAAAACACAAATGTTGTGACTGATGAGAGTAAAAATGTTTTCAGTTACATTAAAAATAACATAAATGTAAAAAAAATTAAATTATTCTTAAAATATAATTTGTAATTTCCATAGGAAAAGAAATAAAAACAAAGTAATGCTATCAACGTGAAACTTGAGTATGAACTTTTAAACCCAAGGAGTGCCTGAGCAGTGTTCAGAAATATGAAAACAAAAGGTTCAACCTCCATCTGAATTATGATTGTTAGTGAAACAACCAAATAATCCTCCAAAAGAAAAAAGGCACTACTGAGCATTTAGAAATGGATTGGAACTGTCATCTAGCTATGTGTTTCACATGGATCATCATTCCATAATGTTTTCATTAAAAGGAGTAGAAAAAATATATTCATGATCTTTACACCCCAAGTCAGTCTTTCTCACATAAGAAAAAATCAGTTTCACTGATATAGTGAACATGATTTCTATTGTCATGTTCACTCTCCTTTATTAAAATGTACCTACATATATAAGAACTTCACTTGAACTCCTGTTGAATCACTAAACTGTGAGATTAATAGGTAAAATTTATCTTTTTTCCTTAGTTTAGGGGTCTCTCTGGGCAACTGAACAGCCTTACAGATTACCACTGACTAACCATTGATATTCACAAAAGAAAAAGTGGCCTCATAATTATTCATCTCTATTACCAATGAAGGAAAAACAGGTCTGCTCAATTGTACTTAAGCTAAACAAGAAGCTTCATTTTGGCATTTTCTTCCTTCATTCTGTCCTTTCCTTCCTTTCTTCCTTCTTTCCTTTATTCCTTTCATACCTGTGGCATGCCTCCTTGATATTAGGCATTGTGTAAAGAAAGAACAAACAAATAATTGTTAGCCAAAACAGGCAGAGCCTGTTTAATGAGGCTGACTATCTTTTTGGAAGAAATGAAATTAATAAAATTATCACATCAATAAATAAAAACGTAGAACTGTGAAAGTTACTATGAAGGAGAGGAACATGGTACTATGGGAGCAGGTTATAGAGATGTTACCTAGTTAGGAAGCCAAAGGAAGGTTTTCACAAGTAAATTTCACTTCCCTTGAGAGCTAAAGGATTAGTACAAGATAACTGGAGAAAGGGGTAAAGGGATATTGCAGTGGAATGCAAAAACCCAGTGAAGGAGAGAGCCTAACTAGAAGGGCCAGGGTGCAGTAAACCATCAAATATAATACCTAACCATTAGAGAATATGTAAAGAGGGAGAAATATATTGATGTCAAAAT